GACCAAACATCCACTGTTAACAACTATAGAAAACACCTAACTTCGTGACGAAGAGCTTCGTTTTTTAGTCGAATAATACTGTTCGCGATATCCGCGTGTCGTGCAACGAGAGAGAAAAAAAAGGTCTATCTTCGATATTCGTTGTTTCCGAATCTGTCGATTCTCTCTTTTCTTCCGAATTTTCGCGTTCTCGTTACACGAGCACGAGTAAAATGTGTAAAAGGTGAGCACACGGTTATCTTCTAAACGAGTCCCGTCGGTCCGCTAATGCCCTCGATGTAGAAAATCACAGTGTCACCGTTTCCATATGGTCGATCGAGAATTTCATTCGTGCAGGAATTTGAGAAAAAAAATTCGACAGTCGTCTCTCACTTACCTGACTCGTCACCAGAATCACCGGTGACTCGCTTCGGAACGAAATAATCGTACAAACTGTTATCAATCATTGTCATATGTGTCTGTGTGTAAGTGTGTCTGCGTGTATAGAATTCTACTACAAAAGATTCAGAGTTAAAAGGACACCACGAACGCTCAACGAGCCTTCTTTCGTGTGTGTCGCTCGACGATGTTCAGGAAGACCGTACTTCCCTTAACAGATTTTTCGTGGAAATGATCCACGCTGTATTCTCGTAACGCTAGGATCAAGCTGTACGATGGAATTTTCAATACTTCAACAATCTTGCATCAAAACTCCGAATACTCCAAAGGTACCATCTTCAAAACCCACCAAAAAATCCATCGTACAATCCTGCAATAATCACGACGTGATCTTGAGATCTCTACGACGTCTCGAAGTCACTCCAACGAGTTTCTCGGCGATCGAACAATTTCCATCGCCGATTCTCTTTTTCCCGACGAGTACCGAAAACGAACAAGATCTACAGTTCCTCGGACAGAGCAATGGGTGCTCTCGAGCCAGGTTTCATGTCTTTCACGCCGATTCCGATGTCGTCGACCGGCACAGGCGCCAGTTTCAGCTGATTTCCGTTCACCTTGATGTCGTTCACGGAATGGGACCTGCCGTGTGTGACCAACGGCTTCGCGGTTTGATAGGTGCTGGCGTTCGAGTTCGAACTGCTGACGGAATTGGTGCTCGGACTGGTTGCCGGATTCGAGCTCGAGCTACAGTTCGCCGTGTTGCTGGAGATCGAGCTCGAGTTCGAGTTCGTGTCCTTCGGTGGACTGGTCACCGCGACTGGATTCGGAATGGACGACGACTTGGACCGTAGTTTCAGCTTTGGATTCACCGAGTTCACGATAGGAATGGGTTTCGGATGTTGATCGTGGAGGATCTCGCGAACGGTGGTTGCGTCTTGCACGGAATCTGGCGACAAGGACATTTTTGTCGGTAACGATGATTTCGAGAATGTTGTTAATTGATTAGCAGACTGCGATCGGACGGTATGGCCGCCGAGCTTGTCCCGCAACGCCATTTGGTAGGCCACCTCGAACGCCTGGCCTAGAGTTAGGATCACCTCCGTAGCTTGGTCCTGGAACAGGCATGGCTCGCTTCGTAGATTTGTCGTGGGTTAGGGGAATTTCGGGAGTTTTCTCAGCGTGGAGTTTTAATCGTGTTTTCTTTGGTTAATTCTTCCGGTGAAAGTGTGGAAGATTAGTGTTTGGATGTTTTCGGGGATGAAATAGAAGTGTGAATAAGTCGAGTTTGTCGCGTTAATGGTGGTTTCTGTTGAGCCTAGGAGAAGAATGGTAATCTTTTGGATGTCGATGAATTTAACACAATTTTGTTTCGGGAAAAATGCAGTTTTCGTTGAACGAAGAAAGATATTCTTATGTGCGAAGGAAGACTAGAGTGTCGAGAATTCTACGATTAACCCTTTCGTGGCTGAATTATTCTTCCTTTTTTTTTAATTTATTTCTTTATCGATCGCGAAAGGGTTAGATATTTTAACGTGTCTGTGAAACTTGTAGAATTTAACAAATTTAGAAAAGAAAAGGAACATATTCTAACAAGAT